GAGGTTCTGAAGTACTGGAGGATGGCCCCGACAAAGCTGGAGGCACGAGTGCGACGACTTAAACGACTCCAGCGAATAGCGAGTAGGCCCCATCATCATGATCACGAACTCACGGCGATCTTCGGAAAGTACCCTTTCGAAAAGTACTCGACGATTGAGGGGGACGACTTGAAGATGGGGGACCAGGTCAATCCGTGGGCCAGGAGGGTGAAAGAGGACATCTTGGAGGGGCTGGAGGCGATGGGGGACGACACGATGTGGTTAAAGGAGGAGCTGGAGGGAGGCTTTCTGAGGCTTTTCAGAGACGCGGACCTCGCTGAGGCTTTTGGGGCCCTCGACTTCTCTCGACTGCGCGAAGGAGCCTATGCGTGTGCGATACCTCCACCAGGATGGGCTCCCTCCCAGGTCCCTGTCATCGAGGCAACAATAGAGACGGAAAACAAGCAAGAACCGACTTGGGTGTGTGGCTGCAAAAACGAGGACGAGAGCTTATGCATGGAAACCTTCACTTCATTCAAGTCGGTCAACCAGCATCGATTACAAAAACATGGGCTTCGGGATCCCTGGACTTGTACGGTGATAACAAACACCTGCCCCTGGTGCCTGGGAGTGTATGGCTCTGTGGTGGCGGCGCAGAAGCATGTGGCCCTCAGTGTGAAGAGAGGCGGCGTATGCAAGTGCAGATCCCCCTACCTTGGAGGACGATCACATCCTGATCTGCGCACATGCCACATCTGTAGTCACGAATGCTCGAGCTTTGAGGAGCTCCAGAAGCACCTGCAGAGCCACGCGCCCCCGCTCGACCTGCTACGACGGGACGAACAACATGGAGCTCGAGCCCGCCAATTTCGCGCTGAAGCACAAGCAGGCCGAGGGCGAGGGCGACGACGCCAGGAGGAAGAAGCAGCAGCGCACCGTCGAGGCGCTGGTCCAAGGGAACGGCAAGGACGACAACGTTCTCGGTCGCCTCGTCACTGTCCTCGCCAGGCTGGCCTTGACCAACGCGGCAGAGCTACGCGACATCGCAGGGATCGTGTTCATCTGCCTACTCCTGCCCATCGACGGCGCCGTCGCGCTGGCCATGAAGGCCGCAGGGCAGACTTACCACGAGACGGTCCAGGCGCTCAAGTCCAAGAACGACGAGAAGGGCCTCGAAGAGCTGGGCCCACCGTACGTGCACATCTTCATGGCCATGGTGCTGGGCATCAATCAGGAACCGTGCGAGCAGTGGACGAAGGACCTCATCCTGGCGTTCTGGATGGCACACATCAAGGGCAAGGGCGCGACGGAGGTGCAAGCAGCAGTACTGCACTGCAAGTGCAGGCCCACGAAGCCCAAGGAGAACAAGAAAGGCATGGTGAAGCTCTCGCTGGCACTCCCCGCCAAACACTCGGAGGTGCAGGATGCGCTGGTCTCGGAGCTCTGCCGCAGGCAGGGACAGATCAAGAGGGGGCCCGCGCCGCGCGGCCCTCTCGAGCGAGCGGCGCAGCAGCTACTGGACGAGTTCGAGGGCAACAAGAAGGGCAAGGCGAAGGGCAGCGGACAGTGAAGATGACAGCCAGCCAGGAGAACATCATAGGCCGCCATTCTCAGCGATTGCTCGACCTAGTCAGACGAAGGCTGGTACCTTTGGAGACAGCTCTTCGCCAGGCCACAGCATCGATGACGGTGGACCCTGTACGACGCCGAACCAAGCACTCTCAATGAGACCTCAAATTCCACATGGCTTCGGAGAGAGTGCGCCAGAGTTGAATTAGATATCACGTGTATATAACTTGCTCTGAGCGGTGTAGCACGCCTTCCCAACGGGGGGCGCGGTGCGAGTGGGGACTGCCCGGCGTTGCGCCGTTAGTGACCCTCGCACCGTTGCTCCCCGGGGGGAAAGAAAAGCCTGCCTGCTGGAATCGCCGTTTCCCCTGAGTGGAGTCACTGACTCAGCGGATTCTTGTTGCCTGTGTGGTGCAGGGCAGCCCCTAAGTCCCCCACCACAGGGCGCTGCAGACTGCCCGAGGGTATCCCCCCCGCACATGCAGCTCATCCCTAAACAGTAGGCTCTCAGGGTAAGGTTAGAAAGCCAGCCACTTTATATGATCTTCTAAGGGTGCTGGTCAGAGTGACCAACACACTCGTTTTTTGATGTGCTGACTTGTGGAACACTGCCCCTCAGAGATTGATTGATTGATTGATTATTGGCCGAGGATTGTAGCCGCAAGTTATGCCAGTATCAACAGTATGCTTCAAACGGTGTTTAAAGCGAGGCCCTGCCCACCACCTCCCCTGTGGCTCTCCTGGCGGCGCCTCGGGCTAGGTGGTGGGGCCGTCCTGCTCGCTGGGCCTCTCGGCGTAGTCGCTGATCTTCAGCATCTAGCCTGGAGACTTCCCTGGCAGGAAGCGGAGGGCAGTGGGCCACGACCCACTCGCGACACCTTGGGCGGCGTGAGTCAGACAGGTGGGCCAGCAAGCGGAGTCTCTGCTGGAAATCTGTCTTGCAGCACGGGCACGCCGACGATCCGACAAGGGTTCGGAGGGCGGACCGCTCTCCGTGCTTGGCACGGCGGTGGCTTCGCAACGCACGTTCGCACCCAAACGAGGTCTGGCAGCACTGCTCGCAAATCCACGCATTGGGAAAGGCTGGGGAAGAGGTCGGAGGGGGGCTGGATCACACACCGATTCAACAAAGTCGAGGCGACTGACGAGCACACCCCAGGACTTCTCATCCTGCAACAGACCTTCCCACTTCCTCGGGTCCTCAAGTGGGCGCGGGAAATCGGGTGGCATCACGGCGCGCTTCAGCAGCGCGGCACCCTCGAGCAAACGCTGCATCCATGGGAGAGGCTTGTGCTTCACTCGAACGTGGAGGAGGGCAAAGAGGGTGCGAGGGCGATTTCGCACAAGCCTCCCCCAAAGAAACAGACGGCCTCGACAGATCAAGCAATGAATGGGCGGCTGCAGCAACTGTTCGCGCACTTCGCGATCAGAAAACTGAGCGTCGGCAGAAAATCTGGAGTCACCTAGGATACGGCGTCAAACTCCCATGTGCACCCGGTTCAATGTTTTCAGGGCATTCGGGGCAGTTACTGTAACAAAGACCGGAAACAACAATCTTGACATGACTAGTGTGTTCATGAAGCAAAGCTTGTGCGATTTTGTCACACTCGGAGCACCAGAGATCTTGGAGGACAGAGGGGCATACGCTGCCATTGCACTCGCACATCGATGAGAAGCATTCATAAAACACGACCCGTCTACACACGCGTGCGTGCCGAGATGTACATAGCTTTCTACAACATCAATCGCGAGCTCAGGGCGGCCTGGAACCTGGGGGCGCACTTTGCCGTCAGGACACCGACGGGCTTCACGCAACTTCACAGAATGCCGCCCTCAGCACTTTAACAAGGCCTCCGTTTTTTTTTCCAGGCTTACAGTTGATGGAAAGGTGGAGTCTCTCAAAGACCCCAAAAAGCTGCCCAAGCAAAACATCAATGGCCTTGTCTAGGGTAGCCCCAGACGCAGACATCAGCACAAAGCATTCATCGTCGACAGACGCCGCATCGACTACTGAAATGGTCTCAGGTTCACACACTGAAGCCTCTGGGGGAGCCCAAAACGGGGACTCAGGAACAGGAAAGCGGAGGGCGATATCTGCACGTTCGAGCGCCCACGACATCAAGTCGAGAGCGATCGAGTATACTGCATTGAACGTGAGCGCGCCAAGCTTACAGCCTTGCCCCCCTCCCGTCCGGCTCGCCGCCCGACTCTCCACCCCCGACGCTCCGAACCACGCGCCAGCGTGCAGTGACTGGCATAAATCCGCGACCCCTGGGTCAACATTCCACTGGGCAAAAAGATGTCCGCGCTCATCAAGATACTGGAGGATCCAGTCGGTTGCGCCATCGGCTACGCCCAGCCTCCTCAGGTGCGCCAAACGAGCAGCACGGTCGGGGGGAGGGCGCGGCCCCCATCCGAGCACAAGATCGCGCAGCACTCGGTCAAACGCTTTGTCCAGGTCAACAAAAAGCGCTACTACAGAGAAGTCGCGCAAATGTGCTACCTCCATGGCCGCGCGACTGAGCAATGTGGCTACATCTGCCCCTCGCTCGGGAACAGCGCCAAACTGTGCGAGCGGCATGCAGTCGACACAAGTGGGGTCTAGATGGGCCTTCAGCATCCCCGCCAAGCCCTTACCTGAGTGGTCGGCCAACAAGATCCCTCGACTACAATCGGGGTATCTGGGCCCCCCTTTCTTTTTGTAAACCTCCTGGGCGCGGCCTCCACGCCGCTGCTTCGGCCGGGAGCCGTTCTGCAGCACGCGCAGATTGACCGCCGCAAACTTACAGGCAAGCGCATCGCCACCTGCCTGGAGGAGCTCTGCTGGGATCAGGTCGTATCCAACACCTTTGTTGCGGCCAAGAGCTTTAAACGCTATACGGGTAGCCTCTGGACCAACATCCAGGGCTGAGGGGACATTCCTCGGAGGGCGCTCAGGCTCACGGAGCTCGGCCTCGCTGATGGGAACGCCTCCGAGGACGCCGGTGAAATGCTCAAGCCGTCGCCGTCAAATCAGGGGGGTCTGACACCACCGAGTCGTCTTTTGAGAAATTACACGGTGTGGCTCGATGTCTAGTGCCGCTCAGAGCTCTCACAATCGCGTGGGCCTGCCTTGGATCGCGCTCACTGAGAGCAGATGAGGCGGCCAGCGCCATGGAGTCTAGAAAGGCAGCACGGTCACGCTCAAGGATGGGCTTGACACACAACTGCAACCAGAAGATTGTGGCATGGGCCCTGGCGCCCTGCCAACGAAATCTACGCATCGAAGTGTCCTGGTCCACTGCATGTCCGTAAAAGAACCAGGGTCGAGGCTGCTCTCGACACCGTGCGCGGGCACCTAAACACGCCACTGGCTGCCAGGCTGCAATACACATGCGCTGAAATGCTGCGCGCTCCTGCAGGGGCGCCGCGTGCCTCGCCCGACGTAGAGGGGCCGCGTGCTGGACGAACTCCTACACGTGGGCACTAATCCACCTCTGTCGGGGCTGCCTCTTCGGGTCACCGAAGACAAAGCGGCCTGCCCAGCGCGCGTAGGTATTCAGCAGCTCGAGATGGTCATCGATGTGCATGCCTCCGTCGAGGTGCGGGAAGATCCACATCAGCTGCTGGAAAAGGCTCACGCGATGCGGCTCCATCAGGTGAAGTTTGTTGAGTCTGAGCGGGGGAGTCGATCGTGTCTCCGACGGCGTTGACCGAACCTTGGTAGCCATAACCCCAGCGTTGTGGCCAGCCCATGCATTCATGGTCAAGTCGAGGGAATAGTCTAGGCGGCAGAACTCAACATCGTCAAACTGCTCCACTGGGACGAACATGAAATCGATGCGGGCCTGCGCACCGTAAGATGATGTCCAAGTATGGCCAGCATCTGGGCCCCACGTATTAGCAATCATCATCTGCTGCTGCTCAGCAAACTCACGAACATGCGTTCCGTTGGAGTTTTCACAACCAGGGGCTGTCGTGCCTATCATCGGGGATGAGACTGACCCAACACGCCCATTCGTATCAGCACACACATAGCACGGGATGGAATAGGCCTTCCGAAGTGCGGAGACCTGGGTGCCAAAAGAATCCCACCACGCAGCACGATCAGCAGGGGGAGCCTGAAGGTGAGGGGCATGGGCAGAAACAGTACCGAAGTCGATACCTTTCTTGGACAGGACGGCGAACATGAGACGTGCAGAGGGCGCCTCCCGCGTCTTGACTGCGAGCCCATGCCGTGCCCAAATCTGCACACCACAGGATCCGTCCTCGCAGGCAGCGGAGCACATCATCGTGTACAACGTACCTTCTTTGCTGATTGACATGTCTGCGCGGCCCTCCTGCAGCGCAATCGCATCCAGCTCAGCAGCACAAAATTGATCTTCAAGCAACTGTACTTTGCTCAGCATACATGCATTGGCAATCTTGGCGTATGCACACTTCTCTTGCCATGGGAGAGGCGTGTTCACATTGGCCGGTGCGATATTCAAGCCGCAGCACCTCCGACCTTGCCTCTGATGGGGAACCCCGAGGCCGAGACGGTGCCTTTCGGCTTGTCGCAAATCGTCTTGCGCACGAAACCGAAGTGTGTGAGGGGCTTCTGCTTGCCTTGCAAGCGCCTTACGGGAGGGGGGACCACTGGGTGAGCAGTCCCATCCTGTGGAGGTTGCTTGCCCTCCATGCGCCGAGCGGGCTCCGTCAGCGCCGCCTCGACGCTGTGGGCCAGCTCGAGGGTCACCTTGAACTTCTCGAACAACTCCCTGGACTGCTGCGTGGCTTCGTCGATCGCCGAGGGGTGGGCCGTGGAGCAGGCCTTGAGCTCGTCGACCGCCGCCGCGAGGATCGCCTCCAGCTGGTCCATGTTTGGCTTGACTGGCTGCATGCTGGCATCGCGCCCTGCAGCACACTCGATCTCGAGCTGGCGCACATCCTCGCGCAGCTTCATCACCTCCTCCGATGCGGCGGTCTGGGCCGCCAGCGCCAGCTTGACGCTCTCGTCGGCCGCCTGGTGGCGCTTGATCGCGCGCTCCAGGGCCGCACGGGCGCCGTCTAGCCGCTTCCCCACAGGCTTCGGTGGGGCCAGCTCGCCAAGCATCTTCTTCTTCTCCGCGATCTGCATCATGATCGGGCTCCGTACCGCATCTCCTTGGCCCTCGAGGGCCGCGGGGGCCTTCTCGAGCTGCGCGATCGAGCTCTGCAGCTGCTGCCGTGCGGGGGCATTGGGCTGCAGCGTCTCGACCTGCATGGGCACGGGTTGGTCCTCCGCTGGCGGCGCTGTCGGGGCCGAGGGCAGAGGGGTGGTCATCGTCGTCGTCATTGAAGTGCCCGCCGTGGCCCGCTGGAGCTTGGCTGCTACCTCGGCGAGTTGCTGGCTGACGGGGTTCTGGGAGGGGCCATTGGGGGCACTGCTCGAAACCCCCGACCGTGCTGACTTGGCCACCTCCGCAAACGTCTTGCGCATGCCGCACGTGCTGCACGCGTTCTTGGTCCAATTGTTCGACTGGCACCCGCTGCACACCCAGAGTCTTGATGGAGGCTTCTGCCCACCTCCACGTTGACCGATGAAGTACCACTGGCCACTCGGATCCTTCTTCCACTCTTCTGACACAGGTGAAGAGGACGAGCCTGCACGCCCACTTTGCCACGACCATGGCGCCATCCACTCTGCTCGCAGAGATCTGGGGCGGTCGAGAAAGGGGCGCGAGCTCAAACTCAAGTGTAGACTTACAGATCAGCTCAAGGAACAGGGCTGGCACAGCCAAGAGCACTTGAGCCAAAAGGGATACGGGTATATACATATATACATATATATATATATGTATATATATACATCTATATATATATATATATATATATATATATCCGCCGACCCTGTCGGCGTGTGCGAGGGGCTTCCTCGTCCGAATCGTCTTCGTTGTTCGGATTCACATCGTTGTGTTTTCGTTGTTCGGATCGTCATCGTTGTCGATTCGACATGAAGTGAACGGCATCATTTCCTCGCCGCCCCCCTTCTTCCTTCCCCCTTTTTTCTTCTTGGGCCGTACCCTCCTGCCGTCATGCCGTTGTAGATTCGAAGGGGAGCCCCTTTCCTTTGATCCCTTCCCCAGGGGGGGGGGGGGTCCGGGGGGCCAGGGGAGGGTCCCGGGGGGGGTCCCGGGGCGGGGGTGGGGGGTGGGGTGGGGGGGCAGATTCGTTTTTCCTCGGGCGGCCTCGAAACCTCGAAAACACTCCAAATGAGGTCCGAATGCCCAAGATGGCCCCCGAGACGGCCCAAGAGTGCCCCGAGTCGCCCAAAGATCGGCCGAAGACGCCCAAGATAGCCCCAAGACCGTCCAAGAAGCCTCCAAGACGTCCCAGGCCCCCTCCAAGAGCACCCCCAAGAAGGGCCCAAGAGGCCACACTCATTACTTTTCCATCGGAAACTTACATTTTTAGCATGTACGACGTTTCGGCCTTCACGGCGTCACAGACAGCCCGAGAGGACCCCCAAGGAAGCGCCAAGACAGCTCCAGAGTCTCCCAAGAGGCGCCCAAGACAGCCCAAAAGGGCGCCAAGACGGCCCAATAGGCTCCCAAGACGGCCCAAGAGGGCCCCAAGAGGGGCCCAAGACGAGGAGCCCGAACCCCAATATCGACCCTTTCCCCCCAAGAAGCTTCCAGGAGGCCCTCCCCCCTCTCGAAATCTTTTTCTTCCTCTTCTTTGTCTTCAGGGTCGGCGGCACCGGCCGTAAGGCCTTCGCAATATATACACATTAATTCTCTTGCGCAGCTGTGCTCTAGAGCTCGGACATCTTTATTCTCTTGCACAGCTGTGCTCTAGAGCTCGGACATCTTTATTTTCGTGTCCTGGTCGTCCCCTGGCTCTGGCCCTCACCCCCCTCCCTGGGCCACGGAACACTTTCGTGACTTGCTCGTCCCCCTGGCCCTGGCCCTCACCCCCCCCTGCCCCCCGTCCAGGCATCCCAGGGCAGCCCGTCCAGGCTTCCCAGAGCAGCCCCCCTGGGCCACGGAACCCTTTATTTTCGTGTCGTTCGTCGTTCGTGTCGTTCGTCCCCCTGGCCCTGGTCGCCCCCCTGGCCCTGGCCCTCACCCCCCCCTGCCCCCCGTCCAGGCATCCCAGGGCAGTCCGTCCAGGCTTCCCAGGGCAGCCCCCCTGGGCCACGGAACCCTTTATTTTCGTGTCGTTCGTCGTTCGTGTCGTTCGCTCCCCTGGCCCTGGTCGTCCCCCTGGCCCTGGCCCTCACCCCCCCCTGCCTCCCATCCAGTCCAGCCTTCCCAGAGCAGCCCGTCCAGGCTTCCCAGGGCAGCCCCCCTGGGCAACGGAACCTTTTATTTTCGTGTCGTTCGTCGTTCGTGTCGTTCGTCCCCCAGGGCAGCCCGTCCAGGCTTCCCAGGGCAGCCCCCCTGGGCCACGGAACCCTTTATTTTCGTGTCGTTCGTCGTTCGTGTCGTTCGTCCCCCTGGCCTTGGTCGCCCCCTGGCCCTGGCCCTCACCCCCCCCTGCCCCGCGTCCAGGCATCCCAGGGCAGCCCGTCCAGGCTTCCCAGGGCAGCCCCCCTAGGCCACGGAACCCTTTATTCTCTTGCACAGCTGTGCTCTAGAGCTCGGACATCTTTATTTTCGTGTCGTGTCGTGTCGTTCGTCCCCCCCTGCCCCCCCCCGCCCCCCCCGTCCAGGCTCCCCAGGGCAGCCCCCCTGGGCCTCGGACACCTTTATTTTCGTGTCGTGTCGTGTCGTTCGTCCCCCTGCCCCCCCCCCCTGCCCCCCCCCGCCCAGGCTCCCCAGGGCAGCCCCCTGAGCCTCGGACACCTTTTTTGTGCAAGAGCCAGGGCACGCGTGCCACTTGTTTTCGTGTCGTGTCGTGTCGCTCGTCCCCTTGCCCCCCCCCTGCCCCCGCCGCCCCCCGTCCCAGGCTCCCCAAGGGCCACCGACCCCCTGGGTCTTCGGCCACACTTTATTTTTCGTGTCGTTTCGTGTCGTTCTGTCCCCACTGCCACCCCCCCCGCCCAGGCTTCCCAGGGCAGCCCCTCCTGAAGCCTTCGGACATTTTTATTCTCTTGTACAGCGGTGCTCTAGAGCTCGACAATCTTTATTTTCGTGTCTTCGTGTTGGGTGTCGTTCGTCCCCCTGCCCCCCCCCCTCTGCCCCCCCCCCCCTGTCCACGCTTCCCAGGGTAGCCCCCCTGGGCCACTTTTATTTCCGTGTCGTGTCGTGTCGTGTCGTTCGTCCCCCTGCCCCCCCCCCTCTGCCCCCCCCCGCCCAGGCTTCCCAGGGCAGCCCCCCTGAGCCTCGGACACCTTTGTGCAAGAGCCAGGGCACGCGTGCCACTTGTTCTCCATTTCTACCATGGATCCCTTGTTGCCCATCGCTCCTGGGCTGTCTTCGGCGGACTACGGACGGTGTTCGGCGGTCTTCGGCGGTCCTCTGACGGTTTTCGGCGGTATCCAGGGGTCTTCGGCGCGAAAGCTGGACGGTTGCAACCCAACATGGGGTACATGATCGAACGCCTACACGTCCCACACTTCGCGCTGCCCGCTGGCAGTCGAGCGAAGACTGACCCGGCTCAGCGCAAGCCGGGCTGCACCACTTTATGAAGAACTCGGCGCTGCAGTCTTTTCGGCGGCTTCCCAATCCCAGCTCGGCCACTGCGCGAGCCCACCCTCGGGGCCGCCCCTGGCTTCCAAACCCAGCTTCGCTCGACGGCGAGCGAGGGAGGGAAGTGAGAAGGAGACGGCCTTCTCAGAAGGCGGCGGGACTTCTCAGAAGCCCTTACGCCTTCTGGAAAGCGTTCTCCGTCTTCGGGGAAGGCTTAGGAGACTTCTCAGAAGGCTGGGGGCCTTCCGAGCCTTTTGAGAAGGCCCGCCCGTTCTCAGTTCCCCCCCAAAGCTAGCCGCCGATTTGCAGAACATTGCAGGATCTGGCGCTCTGGCTGAGCCTCGTTTGCAATGAACCACGTTCCCTGCCGGGCGAGAGAGGGTGTGCCCCACGCCACCGGCGTCGCCACTGCGTGTGGCCCAAGGCCCCTGGGATCCCATCGACCTGGTCGCATCGCTGCGCGAGTCCACTGTTTGAGGCCAGCGCGCCGGCATCGCGGGCTGCGGTCGCTCTTGATGTTTACGCCGGCAGCTGCAGCACTGGTGGCCATCACGAGAATTTAAGAATCTCGACGCCGAGATTGAGACGCACCAGAACACGAGTTGTTCGAATCTTCTCGCGGGCGTGTACCCTTTTGATTTACGGTCCTCGGACCAACCACTCGAGGTTGTCAGAATTGTGGAATGCGGACCGGACAAACAAACATGAGAGCACAAAACGCCAATTGAGGCATGAATTTGAAACCCACCCTGAAGCCGTCCCATCCCCATTCCAGCTCATTTCCCCCAGCCTCCCCGCCTTTCACTTCTCCTCCTCCTCCTCCTCATCCTCCTCCACCGTTATTCCTTGGAGAATAACTCCTCCCTGTCGCACCCCAGACGCGTCTGCAGGGAGAGCTGGACGTTTCGCCGGAGACTTCCCCACCACTTACGACTCTGAAGCTTGACATTGGCAATGTTTCAAGGCTGGGAGGCGGATGGTTTTCAAAATGAAGCTCTCGCCTTAGCGCCGCGCGCACGTGTCTTAAAACTACGCAGCGGCCTCAAGGATGTAGGACACATGGTTTTCAACATGTGGTTCATGCCTTAACGCAGCGCGCACTCGTCTTCATCCTTTGCAGCAGCTTCAACGATGGACGGTACCTCTTTTTCAGAATGTGGTTCTCGCCTCAGTGTCGCGCACATTCGTCTTACGCGTTTGCAACAGGTTCAAAGGCTCGTATTGTTGAAGTCCCAAGAACGGTGATCTGGCACAATTTACCATGACCGAGACGCCAGCGTAATGTTGCTCCGCTGAGTTGACGTCCCAAGCATGGCGACCTGGCACGGCTTAGGACTGTCAGGGCCAGATTCGCGGCGCTGCGGTGCCAAGAGTGGCGATCTGGCAAGACTCAAGACTCCCATACGGTTGTCTTCTAATGGGGCACTTCCCGCAAAGAGCACGAATGCTTCTAGGGGCCTATGAGCAGATAGCATGGAGTGAGGGTATATCGCGACATCGTTTGTGCGTCTTGGGTTGGCACTGGTCCTCCTCCCCCTCCTCCTCCTCCTGCACCTCCTCCTCCCCATACTGCTCGTCCTCCTCACCCCTCGTCCTCCTCACCCATCGCGCCGCCTCCTTAAGGGAGAGAGGAGGGAGGTGGGAGGAATGCACAGTAGGGATTAGGTAAGACGAGGAGGA